CAGAGACAGCCAATTATCATAAAGTTGTTTTCTAATAGCCTCTTAGAAAAATCATCACATTGCATTTACTGCAGTTTACCATGCCATGGGGTTTGTTTGGAAGCTATTTTGTTTGTTTTTGAGACAAAGTCTTGCTCTGACTCCCAGGCTGGAGTGCAGTGGCATGATCTCAGCTCACTGCAACCTCCACCTCCCAGGTTTGTGCGATTCTCCTGCCTCAGCTTCCCGAGTAGCTGGGATTACAGGTGCCTGCCACCACGCCCAGCTAATTTTTGTATTTTTAGTAGAGATGGGATTTCGACTCCCAACCTCAAGTGATCTGCCCGCCTCAGCTTCTCAAAGTGCTGGGGTTACAGGTGCGAGCCACTGCACTCGGCCTTTTTGGGAGCTTTTTAAGTTATGTTTTTATTTTAAAAATTTGCATAAAATACCATAAAATTTACAAACTTGACCATTTTTAAGTGTATGATAGTATTAAGTACATTCACATTGTTGTACAAATCCTCTCCAGAACTCATTTCAGGTTGCAAAACTAAAACTCCATACCTATTAAATGGTAAGTTTCCATTCCCCTCTCCTCCCACATCTGGCACCCACCATTCGACTTCCTGTCTGTAAATCTGACTGTTCCAGCAGCTCATATGAGTGGAGTTACACAGTTTTGTCCTTTTGTGACTGGTTTATTTCATTAGCATAATGTTCTCATGATTCCTTCATGCTGTAGCATGTGTCAGAATTTACTGTATGTTTAAATCGCGTTTTGTTTAGCCATTTATCTGTTGACAGACACTTAGGCTGTGTCCACCTCTTAGACTTTGTGATTAATGCTGCTTTGAACATAGGTATACAAATATTTCTTTGAGTCTTGGTTTTCAGTTATTTGGGGCATATTCCCCAGAATCAGAATTTCTGGGTCATATAGTAATTTCATGTTTAATTTTTTGAGGAACTACCATACTGTTTTCCATAGTGGCTGTACCATTTGATATTTCCACCAATAGGGTACAGAGGTTCCTGTTTCTCCTCATCCTTACCAATATGATTTTTTGTTTGTTTCTTTTTTTTTTTTTTTGATAGTAGCCATGCTAATGGGTGATACGTGCTATGGTTTTTCTTAATCCCATTTTTGCAAATGTTGTTCATAATTTGTTCTCTTCAAATCATCATTCATTGATCTTAGCTCCATTCACTTCCCAGCATCCCAAAACAAGAGCATGAATTGTCCTTTCAAAAGTCTGACCATGGCTGCACCCAGCATTCCCTAAGGGCCCAACACCATGCAGAGAAATGTGCTGGACAAAGCTGGAACTGGAATCAGGGGTTTGGGGCAGCCCCAGGCTTGGCGCTCCACAGGTCTGTGACTAGGAGCAAGTCACAGACCAAGGCCTGTTCTCTGTCCCTCAAAACGGGAACAATACCAATGCCTTAACTCCCTTACAGAGTTGGAGCCCTGGAGATAAAAAGGCTCGTGGAAATTCTACAGCGAGAGCAAAACTTCTGTGTTTGTCAGGATTTTTAAAAGCCAAAAGAGAAAAGGGGAGGGTCCCTAATTCTTAGTAATGCATGTAGGCGATTTCAGAGCTGGAGTTCATGGAAACAAATTGAATTACGGAGGAGGCAGCTCTGCCGTTTGCAACCACGGATTGTTTGAAATCCTTTTAGAGGAAAATTAAAATATTTCACAGAGAGTAATAAAATGCTGAGTGTTTTGCAGGCATGACTGCTCAGCTCTCTTGGGCAAATAAGTAATTAGGCATTTTTATTTAAGTCCTCAGTGTCATCATTTTCTTTCGTTAGTAGAGGGAGAAAAAGCTGTTATGAAAAATACACAAAACTCTGGAAATCAACAGAAAGTTAATTATAAAACTGCGAATATATATATGTTTTATATATATATATATATATATATATATATAGAGAGAGAGAGAGAGAGAGAGAGAGAGAGAGAGCGCACAATAACAGCATACTGCAGGAAGAGAAGATGTTATAGCTTATTTTCCCAAACTTCAAACATGGGAAGCTGTGTCAAATATTCCTCTGCTTCTAAGTAAAAGCCTATCAAAGAGCTTGGGAGTGGGGCTTCTTCCAAGGCACTAGATGCCTTCGGTCAGTATGGCCATGGGAGCCGGGGAGGTGCTGTGAGCCTCACTCCCTATCCACGGCCCCCATACCATCCACTGAGGGACCTGCAGTTCCTCCTCACTCTACCCTCCCTCACCACGTCCACTTTAAGGAAAGGGTTATTTCTCTGAGCCAGAAAGCATGTGTTCCAGCCTCCCCTTTTTACAGATGAGGACCTGGTTTAGGTTCAAAGGCTCTTTTTCTCCTGTGCATCCCCAGGTCTCCGGGCCACTGCATGTCGATGCCTGTATCCCCCGACATGAATCGGGTCTGCTTCTTGGCCCAAGCCCTAGCTGCAGAAGAGGGGAGAACAGGCCAGGGATACGTCCAGTTGCTGACAGAGGGTCCGCCCTGTCCCTGCACAGCCAGTCTGTGCTGGTGTCTTCTTGAGTTCACCTTCTTCCTGTGTGGGCTGCTCTTTTGGGTGATATGAGAAATACTGACGACAAGCATGCAGAGGGCTCCTTGTGAGGTTCGTCTGGTACTTCAGGGGGACGCAGGTGTGTTCATAGCTATTTCTTCTTCAGAATCTCTTTAGAGTTTGGGTTTATCTCTGATGTCTTTCACCACCCCTGAAGCCACCTCCACCTGCGTCACCCATATGAATTTTCTTTAAGTGGCATGAGTGGGTGTGTGTATTGGGGTGTGGGGGGCTGCACATGGGAACCGCCTACAAAATCTGCATTTCCACAGCCTCCTGTGAATCCCGTGTCAGTGCCCATATGGAGGCGTCTCATCTTTACCATTAACCATTAACCTTTGTCTTCCCCACCACTGTGGCCTGCGTTGAGCCATCTAGCAAATTGTTAATAAGCATCTGCCATGTGCTGGGCTTCCCACTGACCCTGAGAACCCAGAGAGGAATAGAATGCAGGGGAAGACAACAGACACATGAGGCAGTTTTCAAAAACAAGCTGATATTTGAGCTGGCCCTTAAAAGATAAGAGGGCGTTTGCCTGGCAGGGAAGGGAGAGGGACCCACCCGGGAGGAACAGCAGAGGCAAAGGCACAATGGCATGAAACAGCCCGTGTTTGGCCGCCGTGTGAGGAAGTGACAGGTGCTGGGGAGAGGCAGGTGCTCTGGGAGTCTCCAGGGCAGGAGCTAATGATGTTACACGGCCCCGCGGTGGGCACAGGGCCAGCATGAAGCAGGTGCCAAAGAGTATGTGTCTAATGTGTGAGGGGGAGAAGGAAATGAGGGAGGGACTCAGGGAAGGGATAAGTCATTGCAGAGTGTTCATGTCATGGCGTCTGTAGAGCAGTTAAAGAGGAACACACTAGGCCATAAAGATGAACGAATCTCAAAAACAGAATGGTACAGCCAGGCACAGTTATGGTCGGGTGCAACAGTTCACACCTGTAATCCCAGTACTTTGGGAGGCCAAGGCAGGCGGATTAGTTGAGGTCAGGGATTTGAGACCTGCCGGGCCAACATGGTGAAACCCCATTTCTACTAAAAATATAAACATTAGCTAAGCGTGATGGCACATACTTGTAATTCCAAACTCAGGAGGTCAAGGTGGGAGAATCGCTTGAACCCAGGAGGAAGAGGTTGCAGTGAGCCAAGATCGCACCACTGCACTTCAGCCTGGGCAACAGAGTGAAACTCCACCTCAAAATAAAAAAGACACGCGCACAATGTTACGTGAGAAAAGCAGGTTGCAGAAAAGCGTGTACAGTCTCCTGGCAGGAAGCGTGCCACGTGCGGAACAGCACCACACAGCCGCACAGACTCTCATTAGGTGAAACTGCATCAACTTGCCCATATTTGACCATTTTTGACATTCAAAAATGGCAGTTTTCGTTGGTTCAACCTGATTGAAATCACAAGGGACAGTCTGTCTGTCCCATAGAATACCACTCAGCAATCAAAAGGAACAGATTATCAGCACATGCAGCAGCTTGCCTGGATCTCAAGGGGATTCTGCTGAGCAAAGCAGCCAAGCTCCGAAAGCTACAGACTGTATGATTCCATTTATATAACAGGCTGGAAATGACAAAAGTGTGAAAACGGGGAAGAGGTAAGTGGTTGCCACGGCCAGAGAGTGGGGAGAGAGACAGGTGAGCATTGCTTTAAAAACAGGGCAGTACAAGGACCCTTGTGATGAACTGTCCCGAATCTTGACAGTGGCAGTGGCCACATTAACCCACATATGGTGCCATTGCATAGGAAATACACATGCGCGCGCGCGCACACACACACACACACACACACACGCGCGCGCGCGCGCGCCCGTGCATGTAAAGCCGGTGAAATCTCAACAAGGTCAGCTTCCTTGTGTCAGCATCCCCATCTCAGCTGTGGTACTTGTATTAATACTAAGGTGACAGCATTGGGGGAGACTGGATGAAAGGTGTACAGCATCTCTGTGTATTGTCTCATTGCATGCAAATTACAATTATCTCAGAATTAACAGTCAAATACACACGCAGTAATGATTAATGTCAAATTTAAGACAGGTTGTTTCTGGGACAAGGTATGAATTATGCATATGGGGAGAGGTTTGCAGAGGGGATTCAACTTTATCTGTAATGTTCTACTTCTTAGAAAAATCTGAGGCAGATATGGCATAATGCTAAGATGCTGCAAAGCTGGATGGTAGACACATAACTGTTACAACATTCTCTTTTTTATGTTTGAAATAATTCATAATTTTTTTTAAAAGCTAATCTTGCTTCACTCCTTTCATCTGGAGCCAGGACTGGACCTGGGATGCAGAGCCCTGAGGGTGCAGGGGATGGGCCAAGGACTCCCTCAGGGTTCAGCCGGCAGCCCAGAGACCACCTGGTGGCAACCCAGAACCTCGGTGGCAGCCGGGGCTGGAGCTCCCCTGCCACAGGCTCCACCAGGTCCCAGCCGCTCATGCCTCTCTCCACAGCCCCCAGAGAAGGAGGGCGCCCTGCCTCGGCAGGTGGGCAACAAGACGGAATGTGGCCTGCTGGGCTTCGTGCTGGACCTGAAGCAGGACTACGAGCCTGTGCGCAGCCAGATGCCAGAGGAGAAGCTGTACAAAGTATACACCTTCAACTCCGTGCGCAAGTCCATGAGCACCGTCATCAAGCTGCCCGACGAGAGCTTCCGCATGTACAGCAAGGGGGCTTCTGAGATCGTGCTCAAGAAGTAAGCACTGGCAGGGCGCTGGGCTGAGGGCTGTGCCTTGGTGCAGGGCACTGGGGATGTCAGGGTCATACAGCATGGCCGCCATCCAGGCCAGGCCCAGCAGCCGGCCCAGCTGGAGTGGCCGTCTAGCACCCAGAGCCACAGAGGGCCCTGCCCAAGGTCATCCAGCAAGACTCACCTTCAGTTCCACGCCCCTTGCCCGCTGTGTTTTCCATTATATCCTCTCAAACATTTCTTTAGCCAGAGTCCTCCCACTCCTCCACCCTAAGCCACTGGTTCATCAGGAAGTTCTACCCATTATCACACTTAGGTCTCTCTTATTTTGCTTCCTTTAGCATAGAGTTGGTTGATGGTAGCCATTTTCATCATTAGCCACACTCCTCTGACTCCAGAAAAGTGCTGGAAATAAGCTTAGTGGACTAAACAAATCCTTTCTCCTCTCTGGCCTCAGTTTCCCCACTTGTACACTGAGGGGATTGGTGTAGCCCCCAGTGGTTCTTAACCCTAACTACACATTGGAATCACTCCGAGGAGTATTTAAAAAAAAAAATTGATTCACCCCAGACAAATTGAACTGGAAACTCTGGGGCAAGGCTCACACATGGATATTTATTAAAGGCTCCCCCAAGCAATTCTAATGTGCAGGCAGTGTCAAGAACTGCTAGCCTGGGTTGTAAGTGCTTGGTAAACCATTTCGGCTGTGGGAATGTTATTTCAGATGAATCTTGTGAACATGTAACACATCAAAGTGGGGCTGCACTTGCTGAGTGGCCTGGGCAGAAGTTGCAGGATGGATGCCTGATTTCACCCTGCCTGGGAGATGGACTGGATGGGCACTGGATGACCAGCCACAGCCAGCGGGGCATCACTAGGGTGGGGAGGCAGACTTCGAGCCGTTCAGAAGGAGCATTCCCTGGGCTCCCCATCTCCCTTCCATCTTCCCACAGGTGCTGCAAAATCCTCAACGGGGCGGGAGAGCCCCGTGTCTTCCGGCCCCGCGACCGGGATGAGATGGTAAAGAAGGTGATTGAGCCCATGGCTTGCGACGGGCTCCGCACTATCTGCGTGGCCTACCGCGACTTCCCCAGCAGCCCTGAGCCGGACTGGGACAACGAGAATGACATCCTCAACGACCTCACCTGCATCTGCGTGGTGGGCATCGAGGACCCCGTGCGACCAGAGGTAGGCCCCGGGGCCAGCCAGCTCAGGGGAAGGAGGCCAGCCACCTGGGTGACCTGGAATAAGTCACTTCACCTCTCTGAGCCTCAGTTTCCACACAGCGCCCATGGGGATCTCCTTCCCCAATCCTCATAAGAGGATCGTCCATGACAAACAGTGTAGACCACACATGGCATGGGTCAGCCAGAAGGACACAGAACCCGCAGGCTGCCAGCAGGCATTGCTCTGTCATGGGGGCAGTCCTCAAGCTGTCCACCCAGCCACCATGAGCTCTTCCCTCTGGTCCCCCAAGGGACAGGTGTAGGGACTGCCCTGCCTTAGAAACCTTTTGCCCTGCAGGAGCCAGGATCTCTTGTAACAAATCTACAAGCCTGGATTCCAGGGTCCCTGCAAAGGACACACCCAATAGCAAAGGTCATTGCTCTCAGGAAAACCTGAAGTGTGGTGTCCCTGTCGGTATGTATAGTTCTCCCAGTGCAGATGCAGTTTACCAGCCAGTGTGCCCTAGCAATCTGGCCTAGGACCACAGCTGAGTCTACCTTTATCAGGGTTCTAGGAGAACGGAGCTAGAAAGTTAACTGAAGGGAAGGGGGCTGACAGCACCCACTTCACAAAGATCAAGGGAGGTGATGTCTATCAGTACACCTAGTGGGGTGCTCAGCACACAGTAGGTCTTTAGCCTCCTTTAGCTGAATCTGCACCTGGGTGGGAAAGGCCAAGAGCTCAATGCTGGAGCTTCCAGGGTCAGGGGAGGATAGGATGTGTGGTCTGTGGGGCTGCCCAGGCTGAAGAGAGGCTGTGGGGAGCACAGGAAGCCGTCCTGAATCTCCAAAACACTGCATGGGTGGGCAGAGTGAGTCAGCTCACACTGCCAGGCCCCAGGGGAGCACCCAGGGCATGAGGCAAGGTGCAGGAGGAGCCAGCTTCCGCTTCCTCCCAGGATTCACTCAGCTGCTGGGTCCAGACAGGATGCCCTGGCCAGGCCTGGCTGGGTCCGGATTGGCCTTGGCTGTAAGATTTGGTGCTGATGCTTTGCGGGCCCACCTCCTCCACTCCTTGGTGGACCTACCCTGACACTGGTCTCTGGGGGTCTCTGGTCATTCCCTACTCCTCTCTGAACCTCAGTGTCCCTTTCTTTAAAGTAAAAGGGATAGACAAGATGCCCTCCAAGTGGCCCTGATGTTGTAAAACTCTGCGTTCCAAAGAAAAATGAAACCAGGTTACAGGCATGGACTTTGACATTTTAGGCAGCAGGGAGCAGGGTCAAAGTGTGAGCTCAGACATCAGACAGATCTGTGATCCTGAGTGACCGCATACCTGGCTGTGTGACGTTGGACCAGTTACATAACTTCCCTGAGCCTCATCTACATACTGGGGATAATAATAGTATCACAAACACCCCCTCCGGGATATTATGAAGGCTCAGATTATGCATCTAAAGCAACAAGCAGAGCATCTGGCACCAGATAAGTGGCCCACATCCGTGGGTCTCCTTCCTTCATCCCCTCTCCAGTGGATTTTGTTACCCTAAATCCAGGGACATAACAGCCCTCGACACACAGCCCGGCCTACCAAAGGTGTTCCATGAGTGTTTGTGGAATGAATGAATGAGAATGAATGGGACTGGAACCCCAATCTTCCACACGTGTCTAATCCTCCTATCCTATCTCTCTCTCTCCCTCTCTCTCTCTCTCTCTCTCTCACACACACACACACACACACACACACACACACGCACATTGTGTGTGATTGTGGCCTCCACACTCCTATCAAGATCCTAAAACAGCAAAGACAGTTAATGCCCCTGGAGCTTGGCAGTGAAGCCCACACGTGCTTTCCTGCACGCCTCTCTCTCCATGGACAGACAGACCGTTTATCAGCCTCCCTGTGGACACCCACTCATTACCAGCTGCTAATGGGTTCAGGCCTCGCTGTGATGTGTTGTCTCCTTACTGAAATCTCTTCATCCTTGTGCAGCACTCGAGGTTGGCCTGCCCACACCCTGTGGCTCCCCTGTCCTTCCCAACCCCGCAGTTCCCCCACCCCTCCAGAGCTCCTGGCTCACCACCCTGCCTTGGAAGCATCCCTTAGGTGAACGGAAGATAGCAGCAGACACAAACTGTTATTTGATCACGACCCACAATAAGAAATGTATTTTATGTCATGACACAGTGAACAACACACACTTCACCAAAACAAGAGTTTCACAAAATAATAGGATGCACTTAACTATTTTCTCTTTTTCTGTTTCTTTATTTCTTTTTTAAAATGTTGGTCACCACCCACTAAAATTTCACATCATAACAGGGCATGACTTGAGGCTTGAGTGGCTGATCTAGGGCAAACACCTTTCCCGACAAACCCCGATTTGCAGAAGAAAACACTGAGGCAAAGGGGGACGGTGATGTGCCCAAAGTGCCTGGTGACCCCAGATCAGAACAGGTATTCTGCCTCCCTGCCTCAGGGCCTCTGCCTGGTTGCCAAAAAAAAAAAGGAAAGGACAAGTAGTTGTAAGTCAAGAGGATAAGCAGATGAGGACAAGGACGAGCGCTCCCCATGCCCAGGGCCTGAGGGGCAGAGCTGCGTCCCTGGCATTTTCTCTTGACAGCATGGTCATCAAGAGAAGTTGGCTGCAGGCACAGACTCTGGGAAAGGGGGACCTGGAACCAACCTCCAACCTCCAGCTTGGCCGCTAACAAGCCACTTCCCTCTGTGAGCCTCTGTGTTTTCATCTGTGAAATGGGAGGTCGGCCCAGGTGCCCCTTGGGTCCCTCCCAAGCTCCGACATCCCCAGAGAAAGAGCTAGTTGACTGGAAGACTTAACCTCACATCTTTCTCCACTTCCTTCAGTCAGGGCGTCTGCGTGGTCCGCCCTCTCTCCTGTTGGCCCACCCCTGGGGTGTCTACATAGGAATCATAAACGATTTCACAGCAGTCACTCACTCAAGTGATGCAGCAGACTCGAGGGACGTGGGTTCTAATTCTGCCCCTGCCATTCCCTCACAGACGGCCTCAGTTTCCCTACCTGAAAACTGAGAGAATCAGACAGTCCAGCATTCACAGTGAGGGCACAGCAGGGCTGCAGGTGACACCACTTGCCAGCATAAAAGCTCAGACCTGCTGATTCCTCATCTCCGCGTGGGGTGGGAGGGATCAGGACCCAAGGAGGCGTGTGGATAAGGTTTTGTTTATTTGTCTGTTTTTTAGGTAGGTCATTCCTGCCCCCTCTAGCTTCCTGGTTCCCACCTCAGAGGCAGCCACTATCCCCATTTTGGGGGGCGACCTTCAGGGAACATGTGTGCCTATGGTGGCTGTGCTTTTTGTCAAGCTCTCCTGGGCTCTGTCCTCCTGGACTCAACCCTTTATACAGAATTCTTTGTTACCCTCCATAAATCTCATACATGAACTTCCCGCCTGGTGCCTCCAGCCTAGCAGGCTCAGCCAGAGGGTAACCCTCAGCCCGGACCATCTCTAGGGTCCTACAGACACACTAAGATTCATTCTACAACTGCAAAAAAACAATCTCTATCCCCCTTGCTTTCCCTGACTTGCTTACCTCCCTTGCTTTCCCTTCTCCCACATTGCCTCCCTCCCAGGAGAAGACTAAAGACTAGAGCAGATCAAACACCCTTGCCAAAACACCCCACCGTCGGCCCTTACAGCGGGTACGTTTTCCAAGGCTGATTGAAGCCAGTGCCGATAAAGCCATCAGGAGAGCAGCGGTCTGGGATTTGCCAGGTTATCCGGGGGTGTTTGAAGCCCTCAGAGTCACCGACAACGGCTGTCACCAGAAACAACAGATGTTTAAAAGCCTTTATTTAATGAAAACAGGAAGCGCCCATTTCCTGGCTGCTTTTCCTCAGTGAGAAATATCTAGGATAATTTTAGCGAAAGAAGTCATTTTTTCCCAAACTTATTTATTTATTTTTTATTTCACAGCAATTTTATCGATGTGGGAAACATATTTCAACCAGATCGATGCCTCTGGGGGTTGAGTCTTAATCATCTCTGGATCCTCAGTGTCCAGAGCAGTTAGATGCTCCAGAGCTGTTTGTCCAATTAGTGAATGAGTGAGCCACAAAATTAAGTCCTGAGAGCAGCTTAAGGAGACATTCCATTGGGCTGCAAGAATCAGGAATGGCTTCGTGAATAGAGAGCATTTCACTTACGAGATGGGAAGACTTGACACATAGAGGCTAAGGGAGGGAAGGCTCTCCAGGCCTCAGAGGGGACAGCACAGGCAGGGCAAGAAGGTGGGAAGGGATGCGGAGGGGCTGCAGCCTCGAGAATGCCCTGTTGCATTTATGAGAGGAAGGGAGCTTGAAAAAGGCGTGCCATGTGCTCATCCTGTGCTTGGGCTGTTTGTGCCATCACAGAGTTCCCCCCAGCCTTGCTGAAGGGTTGGATACTATTGTACCCATTTTACAGATGAGGAAACCGGGCTCCATGTGAGACCCTAGAGCAGAGCCCAGCACAGACTTGTGGTCCCCAAGCCCTCTCCCCACTGCACAGAGGAAAGTATAGGGTCCGCAAAAATTAGCCTCCTTTTTCTCATGAAGCCAGCTTGCTTAGAGAGGCCTAGAAGATAGTCTTTCTAAAATGCAGCCCCAGTCACCTCATTCCTGGCTCAGAACTTCCCACAGTTCCCAGTGCCTGAAGGAGCATATCTCTGGTCCAGCACCTTCTGCCCCTCTCCAACTTCATGGACTCCAGTCCCTGCCCCACATCCTCCCTCAGCCTCAGCCCCTCCAGATCACCTGCAGCATGGCCCTCAGGCCCATTCACACCTCAGGCCTTCTCTGCCAGTGCAGAGTGGGCAATTCTCTGTGGCCAGGGTTAATCTGTGTTCATCTGTGTAGCCTGAGCCCCCTGGCACAATACCAGGAACTAGAGCCTCAGTTGGCAGCTCAAACATCGCCTCCTCCAGGAAGCCCTCCTTGATTTCTCCTCCCCACCCACTTTCTTCTAAAGTAATAGCGCTCTCTGTGCTCACTTTAGTAGCACATATGCTCAGTAGCACAAAACCCCCTTCTGTGTTCCCAGAGCCTTTTGTATAGGCCTGTGCCAAAGACCCTGCCTCCAAACAGAGTACAGGTCTGATTCAGGGTAATGCTCTGTTATCTGAAAAAAATAAAGGTCATGTAAAAGAATCAGCTAGACTTGTTCCACAGTGGAGCAGTGAGCATTAGAGGGAGGGAGTGCGCTGTCATCAGGGGTGTGCAAGCAGAGGCTGACCAGCCCATCTGTTGAGGACATCTGGGAACAGATCTAGGCAATGAGCAGAGGGTCAGAGTCAGTGACCCAAAGTCCTTTCCACCTCCAAGACCTCCAGCATCTTTGAAACCAGCAGCCTGAATTCCTCCTTTTAGAGACAGGAGCCAGATAAGGTCTGTGTTCCCAGGAAACAGCACCTCTTTCTTTTCTTAGGGGCAGGAGACAGCAGGGGGCCACAGCCCAGGTTACAGCCGCCATAAGTATATTAGTGACTTATATAAACAGGATCTTGGACACTGCACATCCCCACTCCCTGCAGCTCTGTAAAAATGAGGTCACGTTTGCTTATGTGATTAGCTGCTGTAGCACGAGGCAGAGGCCTGGCTCACGTGGCCCGCAAACCCTGAGTGGGCACTGGAAGACTTCTCCCCAGGCCCTGGAAATAAGCCCCAGAGGAGGCTGGTGGTCAGCTGGCCCTGTTCTAACCCTTCAACAACAGGGAGATCACTACCTGCCACCACAGAGCCAGTCTCTTAGGCAACTCCAGTAGCTAGACAGGCCTCCTTACAGGGACCCCGCCCTCCCCGACACCCATTCCTCATGCCACAAGACAGCCACGCTCAGAAGTACGTGTTTCCTCTTGAAGGCGTGAGGGTGGAGCCCCTGAAAGAGAGCAGCCCCACAGGCTGACACTCAGGCAGGTCACTGGTGGCCAGGGTAGGGGAAGAGAGGCTAGGCCAGAGGCATGGTGACCAGAGGCAGGCTGGGCAGTGACCCAGCGTGAGACAACGGTGGTGGCGACTGAAGGAGTGGCGGCTGCTGTGGATGGAGTGGACACAGGCCAGATATTCAAGGCCAGTCCTTGTTCTTCCCATTGCTGAGGGCAGAAAGGTGGCCCCGGGCAGGAGCTGTGCCAGTCAGGCTTGGCCCCCTCTTCTCACTCTGTACTAGTTTTCTAGGGCTGCTGTAGCAGTCACACAAACTGAGTGGCTCAAACAACAGCAGTTCGTTGTCTCACAGTCCTGGAGGCTGGACGTCTGTCCGAGACCAAGGTGTCAGCAGGCCTGGTTCTTTCTAATGGCGGTAGGGAGGCGCTGTCCCTGCATCTCTCCCAGCTTCCAGTGGCTTACTGGCCATCTTTGGCTTCCTTGTAGTGGAGAAGCAGCACCCGGATTTCTGCCTGGCGTCTCCTTTGCATGTCTTTGTGTCCAGATTTCCTCTTTATAAGGACTCCAGTCCTGTTGGATTAGGGCTTACCCTGATGAGCTCATTTTAACTGGATTACCTCTATAATGACCCTATCTCCAAGCAAGGTCACATTCACAGGTACTGGGGCTTAGGGCTCCAGTCTGTGTTTTGGGAGGAATACAACTCAATCCATAGTTTTCCAACTCCCTTTGCCGTGGCTTGGTGGGTGGATGCTGGAATTCGCTCCTGGTCACTGTGGGGTGTGCAGGGAGGGAACGTTGGACTAAGGGCTTCCAGGCTGGAGATTCTAATGTGCTGTGGTCTTAAACAACTGGATTTTCTGTCCTTGACATGTTCTCTTGCACTGAAAGATATTCTGCAGCAAATATTTTATTATTCGTCACTGCCCTCGAGTAAGAATCACTCATTCCATTGATTTCTGTTGTGTATAAAGGGCTACCACAGCTCCAGGCTGATTTCCACAGGGAACCCTCAGCTCTGCTCAGGGCCAGCTGCTGGGGTGAGGCGGGGCCAGGCAGCCCTGTGGCTTCTGATTGGCTGGCTATGATCTAGCCTGATTGTCCCAGACATTCATCTGTCATTACAGTCAGAGAGGGCAGGACCTATCCCTATTATTGCAGAGAAATGGTATATTTTACATGAAGCATAATCCTTTATAAATATTCTAAACTTGTGTCACATTCTGTAAGTAAAATGCCCCCAAATGCAGAAGTCCCCCCAAGAAACTGAAAATACACAAATGGATTTGTCAAGTTTGCAGGAACTGTGTATGTGGATGAGGCAAGGACAAGTTCACGTGCTTACCTGGGGCCAGATCTGAGGAGGTGTTCGTGGAAGTCTTTCCAAAGTCTTCGCCCAGGTCAAGACAGCCAATGGTTCTGTCTCAAGATGGACTATCATGGTCAATAGGTGGTGGCCACTGGGACTCTGTGGTGCGACCCACATCAGGGTTTAATCAAAGGATGTGTGATCGATTAACAATGTCTGCCATGGGCACAGGAAGGGATGCTGTGGCCCATGTGCCATGTGTGCCATCAGTATCTCCTAGTCATCTAGTCCCCTTTCAGTAGAGCGGCCTGTGAGAAGGGCTCCTCTGGAAGCCATGAAGACAGGGGGGGCCTGCCTGAGGTGGTGCCCTCCCCCATAGCCCCTGCCCTCCTGCCCAGGTCCCAGAAGCCATCCGCAAGTGCCAGCGGGCAGGCATCACAGTCCGCATGGTCACTGGCGACAATATCAACACGGCTCGGGCCATCGCCATCAAGTGTGGCATCATCCATCCTGGGGAGGACTTTCTGTGCCTCGAGGGCAAGGAGTTCAACAGGAGGATCCGCAACGAGAAGGGGGAGGTGCGTGTCCCAGAGTAGTGTCCTCAGGGGCGCGCGCTTAGATGGAGGCTGGGAGGTGGGGTGCTGCATGATTGTACAGAAGCCAGCCGGTGTGCTGCTGAGAGCCCAGTAACTCTGGGCATGTCCCCTCCCTTCTCCAGGCCTCAGTTTCTCTCCCCGACCCCACCGACCTGCCCCCTTCCCCATCCCTCTCCAGATTGAGCAGGAGCGAATTGACAAGATCTGGCCAAAGCTGCGGGTGCTGGCTCGCTCCTCCCCCACGGACAAGCATACCCTGGTTAAAGGTAAGACTTGGGTGGGCACGGGCGATCCTGAAGCCCAGCAGCAGGCCAGAAGCTGGGCCCTCCTCTCCTGGCACTTGCTGCTGCTTCCCAGGCAGGAAGGGCCCCTCACCCCGGACTCTCCACATCTGGGCACAGCCTTATGTCACCCCCTTTTCAGCCCTGGGAGCCTGCAAGGGGTCAGAAGGAGATGGGACAGAGTCTTCTCTCTGGGCCTCCAACTCCCCTAGGAAGCAATGGACCTGGGTATGTGTGGGGTCCTAAGCTCACGACTCAGGGCCGAATGGGACCCACGCACCTGTTCTATGTGGCCGGTGCAGCGCCTTTTTCAATGATGAATTTGAAATACTACACAGATCTTGCTCTCTCACCTTTTACACAGTCCTTACTGCTGCTCGTCCGACACTCAGCCTACTTTGCTCGTTCTCAGTCTGGTCTCAGAGCTTACGAGTTTGAGTCTCTTAGTCTGCTGGTCCCTGAGGCCCTCAACCAACATTTGTGACCAAGACCCCAGGGATGAGCTCTCCTGGGAATAGCCACCTGAGAGATGAGACCAAAAGCAAAAGTCTTGCTCCTCCCTCCGGAGGGAGAGTGCACCACTCACTGAGCCTAGGTGGCCAGGTGCTGGGCACTCTTTATTTTTATTTTATTTTATTTTATTTGAGACAGGGTCTCCCTCTGTCACCCAGGCTAGAGTACAGTGGTGCGATCACTGCTCACTGCAGCCTCAAACTCCTAGGCTCAAGCAATCCTCCTGCCTCAGCCTCCCAAGTAGCTAGCACTACAGGTATATGTCAACGTGCCTGGTGAATTTTTTAAAATTCTTTATAGAGACAAGTTATCACTATATTGCCCAGGCTGGTCTCGAACTCCTGCCCTCAAGCAATCCTCCCACCTTGGCCTCCCAAAGTGCTGGGACTACAGGCAGGAGCCACTACGCCCAGCCAACTGTGCATTTTTAGAGTCACACGGTCCTGGCTTTGCCATTGACCTGCTCTGTGGCCTTGGGCAAATCCCACTCTGGGACTCAGTTTCCTCATTTATAAAATAGCTATGGGAGCAGGTATCCAGTGGAGATCGGCCCTAAAACATCCTGCATTCCTCTTTCAAAGGTGCTGCCCAATGACATTAATGGAAGCAGATCTGGCCTGGGGAGAGAAACCCAGAACTTTAGAGCCACAAGGGAGCAGAAGGCCCCCAACGATCCCTATTCCTTCACTCATTCTCTCCATGACCGTTTACTGAGGCCCTGCTAGGTGCCAGCCCTGCTCAGGGCAGGCATGGTCCTGCCCACATGGAATTCCTGGGCCAGGTTGCATGCAGCAGGCATTGAATAAGTGGTCCCTGCATAGAGCAAAAGGCTGCACTGCTGGCAGGGGGGCTCTGGGCCCGACGCTGGCCTCTAACTCGGACTAGGGAGGCTGTAGGTCACAGGCCATGGAAGGTGGATGGGCTCCAGGGTTGGTGGGGCCTGTGCTTGGGGCAAGGCAGGGAACTGCTCTGCAAAGGGCTAGAGGCAGAGATCCCTAGGTGCCTTCAAGGACCTGGCCAGGACCTCGGGGCGGGAGAGGGAAGCTACAGGAGACTGGAGAAGGTGCGGGGGCGGCAGATCCTGCAGGGACCCGCTCCCACGAGCACCTGCCATGGCCTGTACCCTGTCACCAGGCTCGGGGGCACGGGAGAGTTTCAAGGGTAGAAGCGTCGCTTTAGAAAACTAACCCTGCAGTGCAGAGCATTTCCTGGCAGCAGGGGGACCAGCAGGCTTGTCCCCTCAAGAGTTGTCACCTGCCCTCAGTGGCGACACCTCAAGTGGAGCTGCCAGGTGCAGGTCTGGGAAAGTGTGGGTGGTGGAGGGGTCTGAGCTGGGCGGGGGGTTTGGATGTCATGGAGGGATGAGGAGCAGGAGGGTCTGGGACCCCCTCAGTCTACACCTGTTGGAGTAGAGAGTTGGACATTGAGCCAGTAGGGAGAGCAGGCCTGACACAGAGTCCTGGGTGGCACATGTGGGTGGGGAGACAGGAGCTGCAGAACCCAAGAGCTGCCTGAGTGATGGTGGAGGCTGAGAACCTACCAGAGGAGACCAAGGGGCAGAGGCTAGAGGGGCCGGGGACGGCCAGGAGGGAGTGGAGCGGGGAAGACAAGGAAGGAGGCCTGTGGAGGAGGAAGGTGTGGCCCACGGTGGGAATAGCTGCTGAGAGGTCTGCGGGACAGAACAGAAATGTGACCATAGGAGGCGGCCACAGGAAGGCCCTGGTGACTGCTGTACACAGTCAGGCCACCCCAAGACTGGAGGCAGGGAGGAGGTCTGGGGAGAGGTTTCCGCCCAGCTTTCCGCACGGCTCGGGCCATGCAAAGGTCCGTGCTGCTCGGGAGCCGCAGGGCGGAAATTTGACCCCTCCCTGCCTTGGAGGAGCCCCCAGGCTGACTGAGGGAACTGTGGAGACTCAGGCCTAACTTGCCCAGTGGACAAGCTCAGAAAGGCTGAGTCCGGGACAGGGGAACTGTGGGCTCGATACCAGCTGGGCGGGAGCAGCCCAGGACGATTCCCAGAACACACGGCACTGCAGCTGGGCCTGAAAGAGGGGAGAGCTGCAGGGAGCACTGGGGGGCATGTGCCCCAAGTCGTGGAACTCCGCCCATCATTCCAGCTGCCCCTGTCTGCTAGGCACAGACCAGAGAGATGCACAAGGACGGAGCAGCACATAGAGTTACAGGGGCCTGATTACGGCGGGCAGGGGTCCTCAGAGGGTTAGAAAGGCTTCTTGGGAAAAGCAGCATCTGAGCCAAAAATGCAGTACAGGTGGGTGACAGGAGTACCTCTGGCGGAGGAAGCAGCCTACGCAGAGACGGGGTCAGTGGGGGCCAGTGGGGGCCAGCTCTGTGGGACTGCAAGCACTGATCGGGGGTGGCCAGGGGATGAGAGAAGAGGTCAGGGTGTGGGTGAGGCCTGGTCAAGAGGACTTCGTAAGTGGAGCTGAGAACATGGATGTTATCCTGAGGCCAAGCAGAATGATGTTCTAGGGGAGGGGACTGGTTCAGATATGGGTGTTAGATCCTGGACTTGCTGTGGGGAAGCAGGTTGGAAGGGGAGCCCAGAGTCAGTGAGAGGAAACTCAGTGATGCTGGTGGCAGAGGATGGGGACAGAGAGAAAAGGAAGGGTTTCGGTGGGATTTTGGAGCCAGAATTGTTAGGTCTTGGTGATACATGTGATGTGCAGAATGAAAGAGAGATGCATGGAAGCTGACACTCAAATTCCTGACCTGCCCACGGACATCCCTGCTTGTGAGCCCCGTGAATGAGGAGTCCCACAAACTCTGCAGGTCCTCACCAATGACCTCCTTCACCCATCCTGTTCCACCGGCCCCAGCTCAGTGACTAGGGCGCATGTCACCTATTCATTTTGTTCCCTGCCGAATGTTTTATTGAAGATGAATGTCTGGAGAGAGGTCAGGGTCAGAATGGTGGGGCAGAGGTCACTGGCAAATGGCAAAGCCAAGGCCTCCACGACAAGCCTGGACTCCCCAGGGAGAAGGTGCTGGCTAGTGGCGTTGGGAGGAACAGATGATGGGGTCCTGCTGAAACGCTGGGAGCCTGCAGAGGCGGAGTGGGCCCTGAGCACAGTTAGAGGATGCAGTGTTTCTGGTTAGGGTGGGTGCCAATGTGGCCACGGGTTGCAGAGAGCAAAGAGGGGGCTGGAGAGATGAGTAGGGCCCGGGCCACGGGGGGCCCCAAGCTGGCACCAGCCCAATAAGGAGCCCAGTGCATGCTGCTGGCAGCTGTAGGCCAGCCTGGAGCTGGGAAGAGCCTGGACAGAGGGGGCAGCTGGGCAGGGACCAGAGAGGAAGCCATGCCCAGCCAGGCCCCTCCGAGGGCCATGGCTGGCCGGGGCTGCCCCCTCTGTGAGTGGCCTAGGGCCTGAGCACACTCCTGCTCCCACAGGCATCATTGACAGCACACACACCGAGCAGCGGCAGGTGGTGGCCGTGACAGGGGACGGGACCAACGATGGGCCTGCACTCAAGAAGGCCGACGTGGGCTTCGCCATGGTAGGAGCGGCCCGCAGAGGGCCTGGGTGGTGGGGCTGGGGAGACTGGGCTACATGGCCTTGGGCTGGCTGCTTGGGGGCCCCAGTTCACTCGGCCCACCTGCCATCCGCCACATGTGCCCACCGTTCTCGAGGCTCAGCCTGGCCCTGAGGTCTTCCTGGAAAGGCGTGGGATGCTCCTTGCTCTGGGGGAGCTGTGTGAAGGGGGGCAGTTGCAGGTTGAGGAAGAAGGGAACAGAGCCGGAGAGGGGGCCAGGGTGAGGCTTCCCAAGGGAGAAGGAGGCTGGGTCTGTGAGGAGCACGAAGAGCGGGGTGTCCTTGTGTGGTCTGGCTGTGCTGAGTCCACTGGGTGTGTGTACTGGGGAGTTGCGTAGCTGAGGATGTGGAGGGGTGAGGATGGCGATGCTAGAAGTGGTCAACTCCCCTGGCCACCCCACCCAGCTTGCTGTCCGTGTCCCTACAGGGCATCGCAGGCACTGACGTGGCCAAGGAGGCCTCAGACATCATCCTTACCGATGACAATTTCAGCAGCATCGTCAAGGCAGTGATGTGGGGCCGCAACGTCTACGACAGCATCTCCAAGTTCTTGCAGTTCCAGCTCACAGTCAACGTGGTGGCCGTGATTGTGGCCTTCACAGGTGCCTGCATCACGCAGGTGGGTCCTCAGGAGGCCATACCAAAGCCCAGGGGAGGCAGAGACCCCCAAAGAGGCTCGGAGCCCTTAGGGTAATCCACATCAGAACAGCCGGGGATGAGGTACCCATCGATGGAGAGCCTGCTAGGGCCACAAACTGCATCGAAGAGCTCAGGTGCAGGCACTGGCCCCAGGGGAATTGAGGACATGAGGCTCAGAGAGGTGGCATGACTTGTTCAAGGTCGCCCAGCAAATGGGAGCTGTCAGGCTCACAGCCTGGCCCTCACTGCAGGAGGCAGGAGAGGGAATCCTCAAGAGAAGACAGGGTCCTTGGCCACCAGGAGGGCAGAGGGAGGTAGGGGCAGGCCAGGGCCCAAGGGGGATCAGGCAGTGGGGTGAAAACAAAGAGCCAGTGAGGGCCTGGCTCTGGGCTGGAGCTCGGAGTACCTTCGGAGGTGCGGGGTGGGGACAGCCAGAGGGAGTCGGGGGGGTCGCTCACTGGGAGTGTTACAGAGGAGTCTGGTCAGATGCCACGACGGGGTCTCGAGCAGCCGCACGCACTGAGCCTGGCAGGCAGGCCCAGGATGTCTGCAGACTCACTGCTTCTTCATCGCAGCTCCACGAGGCGGGAACTGTGAAGATCCCATTTTACAGAGACAGAAACTGAGGCTCAGAGGATAAACTGGCCAGGGACCTGCCATTGACCTTGCAGCCTCCTGTTACCCCGCCTGGCTGCCTCCCCACAGGGGCTAACCAGCCCAGCCGGGGAGGCAAGGATGGGTCTCCCTTAGCCCCAGTGGATCCCCGAGGCCCAGCCCTCCCAGTAGCCACCTGGGCAGACAAGCCCCTGCCCGCAGCAGCCCCCAGAGGCCCAGAGTGCAGCACTTCCCCAAGAGCTGTGTGGCTCTGGAACACTGCTCCCCTCTCTGTTGCTTCCTGAGCTGGGGGAATATAGGTGGCAGCTCCAGCTATCCCAGCCCAGAGCCTCAGTGCCTTGGGAGGGTGGCTGGGGGCTTCCTTTTGCTCAGACGGGTCCTCTTTCCTGGTCTGTGGATGAGATGCTCCCTCTAGTGGCAGCTTGAGGGACACTACCAGGGCAGCAGCAACCTGGAGACCAGAAAGGTCCTGATGCCAGACAGGAAACTGAGGTTCTGAGACAACTGTCAGCCTGAGGTCTTCGATTGAGTTGGTGGCAAGCCATGTCCTCAAGGAGGACAGGCACGCTTGACCCCGAGGCATATGGAATCAGAGAAGGCCTGGGGTAGGGAGGCCGGGGCAGGGGGAGCAAGGCTGAGGCAGGGAGGAGGCGGGAAAAAGGGCCAGGAACAGGGGCTGTGATGACACCTGGGAGGTGATGAGTGGAAGGGATGCAGGTATCTGGGGCTTTGGGAGAGTACAGAGGTGGGAAGAGTAATCAGTTCGGGCTGTTGAGCTAACAGGCTCTGGGGGCTTCCTGGAGGAGGTGTTCCACAGGCCTCTAGGTGGATGTGGCTAAAGCCACAGGGAGAGGAGAATGGGGCTAAGGCAGGAACACAGAGTTAGGAGGAGGGGAGGACGACAACCAGGAGACTGAGGTCAGGACTGCGAGTGGGAGGCAGTGGCCTGGTGCCGGGGCGAGGTCAGGGACATGAGGCGGAGAGGAGGTCCTGCAACTCATGACACGGGACGTGCTGGTGACATTGGAGGGGAGCATTCTGGAAGTGTGGAGGGACCAAAGTCTGGCTGCTGTGGACAAGACGTGTGGGGGTGTGAGGAAGGATGGGAATAGCAGACCCAGCTCCACTCAGCCAGAGACAGGCCTGGAAGGGTCCCTCCCAGAACCTGGACAGCGGTGACCTACAAGGAGTGAGGTCCTTGACAAGTTTTAGCTGCTTCTGCTATTCCTTGTCAACATTTCCTACCTTGAAATGTATTCATTTTTAAGTCATAGATACGCACAATGATTTTTTAAGGTAAGGTGGGATGATAAGAGGGGAGGAGAAATTGAGGGCAAGGGATGGGCATTGTTGGTAGGAGAGCCCGAGGGGGAAGAGGCAGCGGGGTGGAGGGGGCAGGAGCCCACACCGGAGGTGGTGGGAATGGTCTTGGCCTCAGCCAAGAGAGACCCCTCCTCAGGGGCTGGGGGTAAGGGGGAAGATGGTGAGATGCAGCTGAATTTACCAGAAGGCAGGGAGCTGGTGGTGATTGGGCCTGCGGGGGACTCAACTTCCCCTGGTGGGGAAGATGGGGCTGAGGTGGGCGGGTCTGCGTGTTCTCCAGAGAGGGTGTCAGAGAATGGCTCCATGCCTGTTGGGGAGCCAAGGGGCAGGTCAGCCTCTAGCCTCTAGCAGGAGCCTGTGGGCACAACACGATGAGCCCGCCCAGCACTTCACAGCGGCAGGTGGGCGCGCAGGTGACAGCTTTCTCCCGCCCATCCCCAGGACTCCCCTCTGAAGGCCGTGCAGATGCTCTGGGTGAACCTCATCATGGACACGTTTGCCTCACTGGCACTGGCCACCGAGCCGCCCACGGAGACCCTGCTGCTGAGGAAGCCGTACGGCCGTAACAAGCCGCTCATCTCCAGGACCATGATGAAGAACATCCTGGGTCACGCTGTCTACCAGCTCGCCCTCATCTTCACCCTCCTCTTTGTTGGTGAGCGCCTCGCCCACCCACACCTCTCCCAGGCGGGGCCACTGCCTTCCGGGTGCACCATGGCTCCCACCAAGCATTCTGGAGTCACAACCCCTCTTGTTTTGCTAGTGGGGAAACTGAGGCCCAGGGAGGCAAGTAAGTTGCCCAAAGTCACACCAGCAAGTCATGAACAGGACCTGACCCTGTCCCAGCTCTGGCTGACCCCAAAGCCATCGGTGGCTTTCTCCACTGGTGACAGATCCCAGCACCAAGTACACACTGTGCAAGGCCCTGTCTGGTGCTGAAGTACTGCATGGCAGCCCCGGAGGCTCCTGAGGTTGTGGGGGGTGACTCGTCCCTTCTGAGACCCATTCCAGTGCCTTATCCTGGCCCTGTGGAAGGGACCTTCAGCGAGGCTTCCTGGGAAAGGCACACATGCCCACACCACCGCCGATTCTCACAACGCTTCCACTTGGGCTGCCTGGTTGGGTCTTCCACTCAGTGAGGCAAGCACATTGGCTCCACTCCACCTTACAGTCGAGGGCACCAAGGCTCAGAGAGGTAAGGTGATTTGCCCAAGGGCACACAGCCAGACTGATGAAAAGACACAGAACCAGGACTGGCTGGGGCTAAGACTGGCCTGGTTTCCACAGATGCTTCAGAGACAATCCCAGTAAAGCTACCCCCAGGTCACAGGTGAAGAAACAGAGGCCCAGAGAGGGGAAGGGTCTGGCCCACAGTCCCACGTGGAGTCGGGGCCCGTGCTCCCCTTACAGGAGCCTCCTAGAGCTGGCCTTTCACTCATCCCCAGAGCCCAGAGTGTGACGGCGTGGGACATGGATCCTATTCCTCAAAAGCAGTCACCTTTTATACATTTTGAAAGCAGTGTGTTGTCGGGACACATTTTACTGTTGTAACACTTATCATGAAAAGGCTTAGAGGAAGCCATCTATATGCAGAACTAGAAGAGACTCAGAGGAAGAGAAGAGATGGGAGAGGAGAGGAGGGCAGGGGTCCTGGTCAGCTTGCTGGCTTGGCCACTTGGGCAGCACCTGCCCTGGGTTGTCTTGGGACATCACCCAGAAAACTCTACAAGCCATCTGGCACCACTCAGCCATGCAAAAAGACATAGGACTTGGCTGGGCGCAGTGGCTCACGCCTGGAATCCTAGCATTTTGGGAGGCTGAGGCGGGCAGATCACTTGAGGTCAGGAGTTCGAGACCAGCCTGGCCAACATGGAGAAACCCCATCTCTACCATGGTGGTGAGCACCTGTAGTCCCAGCTACTTGGGAGGCTGAGGCAGGAGAATCGCTTGAACCCAGGAGGCAGAGGTTGCAGTGAGCTGAGATCACGCCACTGTACTCCGGCCTGGCAACAGCGAGACTCCATCTCAAAAACAAAGCAAAGCAAAAAGGATGCAGGACTGCATCACACACGCCATCAGCGGCATCTACACAGCAGTGCCCCGCCATGTGATAGCTCAGGTGTTAGAATGAAGCCACTGGGAGAGTCCGGAGCCAGCCTGGCCCAGAGGCCCTGGGCTCCATATAGTAATTGGCATCTCCAGTAACAGCCCCATGAGCATGCAGAGGTCTCAGCAAGGGACATGCTTGAGTACAAGCAGCAGCACTCTTGGGGCAGCGCGGGGCCCCCACAGGTATCCTGTCCTTACCGTCCAGAATGTTTGCCAGTCTCGGGTCACTTTTTACAAGCATGTCACCCAGTTACACGGCTGGCCATTCACCTTTATCAGGTTTCCACAGCAAAAGTGGAAGACAGTTCCCCAAGGCCTTTCTCCCCCAGAGGAGAAAGGGTTTTGCCGAAACTTTGCTCCTGCTCTCTGACCAGCCAACAGCACGGCCACCTGGCCCCCAGTGTCCAAGCATGCCTTGGTGTCTTGGAGACGCACCTCGCTGCTCAGAAGAGGCCCCCACGAAGGGCCAGGCATCTCCCCCCTGATGCCCCCGCCGCTGCCTCCAGCCCAGCCCTGCCCTCTCACTTGGCAGGCGAGAAGATGTTCCAGATTGACAGCGGGAGGAATGCACCCCTGCACTCGCCGCCCTCAGAACACTACACCATCATCTTCAACACCTTTGTCATGATGCAACTCTTCAACGAGATCAACGCCCGCAAGATCCACGGCGAGCGCAATGTCTTTGACGGCATCTTCCGGAACCCCATCTTCTGCACCATCGTGCTGGGCACCTTTGCCATCCAGGTAGTAAGGCCCCCACCCTAACCAGGCCTGGGGTGGGTAGCAAGCAGCCGGAGCCCCTGGGCAGGGCTCTGAGAGCCCAGCCCTCTGTGCTGACCCCTGACAGCCTCTCTCTCTCTCTCTGCTCCCCTCTGACCTCCAGATAGTGATCGTGCAGTTTGGAGGGAAGCCATTCAGCTGCTCTCCACTACAGCTGGACCAGTGGATGTGGTGCATATTCATTGGGTTAGGAGAGCTCGTTTGGGGTCAGGTAAGTTCCTGGTAGGTCACAGGAGGTGCCTCTTAGAAGGGCAAGGGAGACAGCACTGGCTGGAGAAACCAGGACCCCCAGAAACGGGCTGCCAGACCCCAGGCAAGGCCCTCCCTATCTCTGGACATCTGAGCAAGGGGGCTTGTCCCAGGTCCCATACTGGTCCTGTGGGTACCACTGCTCTGATTTTTCCTTTATCTACCACTGCTCCTGTTGTTTATGTAATATTTTCTCTCGATCACATCAGTTTTTTTTTTAACTTAAATTTGTTTTAAAAGGCAACATCATATTACCAAGACAACTGGAAAATCAGTATCACTTGTTATAAATGGAAGCTAGCAAAAACATTAATGTAATAAGAATGATTTATTAAACTCTATCTAGGAGCCGTGGCCTGCCAGGGATTCAAGGCTGAAGTAGCTTGTTAGGAAGGGAGACGATTCAGTGGTCTGCAGGCACTGGTGGCCCACTGGTGTCAATCAGGGTCCTTTGCAGCATTCAGAGAGATCACTAGCGGGACACACTCTGCCACATTGCAGTGTTACTCAGTGCTGTGCCTGTGGCCATCTGAGAACTGCCCCTGCTCTGGGGACCCCTGGGTTGGAGGCTCTTTAGGGGCCCTTCTACTTTGACCTCAGAATATTCTCCTGCCAGTTCCTTTTGCTACGTTTGCCTGAGTTCCAGACCCCATCCCAGCTCTGACAGCGTGCAGCTCAAAGGCTCCTGACGCAGGACACAGTGCCTGGGAGGAGGACCCAGAACTAATTCAGGGCCTACAGGGCTTTATTCCCAAGGTGCTAGACATCCAGGCAGTGGAACCCCATGGGTGGAAGACATTGTTCTTGCCTTCAAGCTGTCTGCAGGATAGGGTGAGAAGCTACAGTGGCAAAAGTTAACTAAAAGATAAATAAAGTTTCATTTCATTCAGAAGGACTTCCTCTAACCTTTGGAGTTGCTTTGGAGAGTGATTAACCAGGTGTGACTTAGCAACTCCATTCCCTGGGCACCCTGGGGGCCAGGCCATCTTTATCCCACTGGGCTCCGCACCCTACAGGAGGCTCTTGGGGGCTGGGCCCAGTGTCTGAGGGAATGGACTCAGAGGACTAAGGTTAATGCCTGCGGGCAGTGCTGACCTTACACTCCCAGGGAGCCCCTGAGGCTGCATTCAAGCCAGTGCCTGTCTGTCCCTACAGGAGATGGAAGGGGCCTCTGACATCTGCCACCTCAGCCTCCCTGTAGGGCCGGTGTCTGGGTCCTCAGCCCCACGGACAAGCCCTTTGGGGAAGATTAGGAATGAAGGCATAGCTTCTTCCCATACTGCCTTCCCAGTCCAGGATTGGCTGCCCTCAGGGTCCAGTGACCTCAGGAGCAATAAGGGACAGAGGAATAGATGACCCCAGGAGAGCTGAGGGCCAGCCACAGGCCAGGCTCATGCAGGATGAGTTAGACCCTCCACCATGCCCAGTTCCCACCACACCCAGAGCGGCCCCCATTTTACAGCTAGGAAAACCAAAGCTTGGTGAGGCTAAATGACTTGCCCAAGGCCACAGGACCAGAGCTGTCTGGGATATTCAAAGCCACATGTGTCCAACTCCTAGAGGCCAAGATTGTCCACTGTGTCCCCCAACTCTGAATGAGTGAATTAAAAAGCATATCATTAAGAAATTGTCAAAGACTGGGCTGAGGAACAGGTGAGGTGGGTGAAGGAGTGAATTGATCATGTGCCTGGGCGAGTGGGTAGGAGGAGGGGGGTAGAAGAGCGGGTGTCAGGGAAAGAAGGTCACCAGGAAGGACAGCCCTTCCGTCCTGATGGCCAGAGTCCCTTGCAGGTCATCGCCACCATCCCGACCAGCAGGCTCAAGTTCCTCAAGGAGGCAGGCAGGCTCACGCAGAAGGAGGAGATCCCGGAGGAGGAGCTCAACGAGGACGTGGAGGAGATCGACCACGCGGAGCGGGAGCTGCGGCGGGGCCAGATCCTGTGGTTCCGAGGCCTGAATCGGATCCAGACACAGGTACAGGAGGCTCTTAGGGGCTGGGCCCAGGCCTGGCCAGGGCGGGCCAGGGGATGGAGGTGAGTGTGCTTGTGCTGCCCCCAGGGCCCAGCTCTGGTGCTGAGGGAGGAGGGCTACCCGCCAGATCTCACCAGCCACTTGCACACCCACGTTGTGCACTCTCCTGTGGCTGCTAAGGAACAGCATGACCTCCTCAGGGAGGTCCCATTGTGTCCTCTTGGGGCAGCAAGGTGATATGGTAGGGGTCACACCCACCATGCTCTCCAGGGGGGCTTCCCTGAGAGGGTGGGGAAGGGTGGCTCTGAGGACAGAGGTGAGTGAGGGGACTGTGGCTCAGGGCTGGGGACAGCCACCAGGAGGGGCTGTGCAAGGCTAGGTCGCCCAGGGTCCCCCAGGGCCTGGTGGTCAGCTTGGGGGTCTACCACCTCCACAGGGGCTTCAGTCACTCTCCCGAGCTTTCCCAGGGTATGGAGAGGCTGTGGGGAGCAAATGTCAGTCATCCCCAGGTACACATAGACACACATGCACACACCAAGCACACCAGGGGAGCACAGGTGCAGGGCATAGCCAGCTAGAAGCAGGTTTCTTCCCCAGAGCAGAGACAGCATGGCTGCCATATGGCACATGACACACCTGTGTCCGCGCCCCTCCCCACACATACACCCCACACGCTCTCACATGGGCCCCTTATGTCTGGGCAGGTGTTGTAGCTCACAGGGGCTATCACAGCCCTGCGAGGGGAGGGTCAGAAGGGATTCTGCGGGTCTCTTGCCCAGACCACCCAGGGAGCTGGAGTGGGAGCTCCTCCACGCCCCAGCACACTTGGGAGAAGCGTGGTGTAGAGGTACCCACCTGGCCACCGTCCTGCCAGGCATAACCCAGTACCTCATCTCCATCCAATGTAGCAGATAACTCACCTGGGTCACCTCCCGCTCCTCTGTACCCTGTCCCAAACCTCACCTTATGTGACCTTCACAGCACTGGGAGGCAGAGATGACTCCCCGTGTAGAGGTTATCGAGGTCTAGGAAGGAGATGGCTGTTTCTACAGAGCTGGCACAGCTGGGGCAGGGACTGGAAACAGGTTTCAGTCCCAGAGCTGCCTGACACAGGCCTGGCTCACCTCCCCGATTAGGACCTTGGCAGCCAGCCCACCCAGCCGACCCCCACCTCCTGGGAGGTCCAGGACAGTGAATATGGCTCTGCTGCTGTCACCGCCCTGGCAGCAAAGGCATGCAGGAGTCTGCAAATTATAGGAGGAAGCAAGGACTGCGATTTCTTGAGTGGGCAGGGGCGCCTGTCTTGCCTGCCTCTTGTGGAACACTAGCGTGGGTCAGGTGCTTTGCCACTCACAGATGACCCTGCCGGGCAGGTGGCATTGACCCTTCTTAAAAACAAGAAAATCAGAAAGGTGACTTGCCCAAGGTCACCTAGCTAGTAAGTGACAGAACTGGAATTTGGGCCAAGCTCTGTCCACCTCCAGGCCCCCACCACACCCTCTAGCTCCACGCCTGCACCGGAGGGAGGCCGAACACTGCTCTCTTCCCTCCAGACACGATGTTTAATCACTGCCTCCCCCACTGCCCTTGCCCAGCCCACTGGCCCCTCAGCCACTAGCACAGGACAAAGGCCAAACCCCCTGTGTCCTCCTGGGGACCCTGGAGCCTGCAGGTGGGCCCAGAGCTGAGCAGACATCTTTCAGAGCCTTGGAGTGTGTTTGGTATTTTTTGTTTTGATTTAAGTGACGTTGTCATTGTCGCCGTGGCTGCGGCTGTTCTTGTGACATTGCGCCTGTCAGTCATGTAGCTGTTGTGTTCGTTCTTCTCGCAACTTGTCTCGTTCTCTCCTCCGTTGCAGATTGAAGTAGTCAATACTTTCAAGAGCGGGGCCTCCTTTCAGGGGGCCCTGAGGAGACAGTCCTCGGTCACCAGCCAGAGCCAGGACGTAGCCAATCTCTCTAGCCCTAGTCGCGTGTCGTTGTCCAATGCTCTTTCCTCTCCGACCAGCCTTCCTCCTGCTGCAGCCGGGCGTGAGTGTGACTCCTTACTGCCTCCGGCTGGCACTGCCCACGCCAGCTCCCAGGCGGGCAGGGGCTGGGGCACCAGAAGACATGGGGGGCAGCTGGTCACGATCAGGCCCAGGGGGCTGAAGGGTCACAGCCACTGAAGAGGGTCCCATTGGTCAGAAGAGCGTAGCCAGTCATGGGGTGGCAGTCACACAGTGGACCAGGGTCAGTCAGAGGGTTGTTAAGGTCCCAAGTGGCCAGAGAGTCTGGTCCAGCAAAGGGATCGCCACTGATCAAGAGGGCATCAGTGACCAAATGGTCCCAATCCACCACAGGGTCCCGGCAGCCAGAGGGGTCAGTCATGGAGGGGACACAGAGTGTCCCACTGGCCCAGGGTCAAAGGTAGTCAGGAAAAGCCTGGACCGCCAAAGCAAGGGTTGGAGTTGGACAGGAGGTCCCAGTCTTGCAGTCAGAGTCAGCAGAAGGGTCACTGTGGGTCAAGGGGAGCAAGCCCCTCAGGGTCACAGTCACATTGGGGTTCAGCAGGAGAGGGTCACATCATCCAGGCTTTCCCAGCTGGTCAGGAGGCACCCACAGCAATGAGGTTCATGGTCAAGCGGGATGGTTGAGTCAAGAGGTCACTGCAGATCAGAGTCATAGTCAGCCAGGGGTCCCAGGCCATGGAGGAGCTCACAGCCTGGAGGCCCCATCCCAGCAGTTCAGAGTCTCTGTCCGCTTCCCATCCCTCCTCCCCTTGCACTTTTGACAGCATTAATTGCCCTGCAGATGCCTTTCCCTGTGCAGAGCTTGGAACACGCTGAAGTTCCAAGCCTTTCTGGAAAAGACAAAGTTCCTGGCCCATTCAGCTTGACCCATGGTAGAAAATGGTGGGTCGAGCCTCACGTCTTGCCTGGGTGCCAGCAGGCCCAGAGGGACCTGATCTACCCTTCGGCATCCTGCCCTCTTTCATCTGAGGCATGGTCTGGGACTCTGGCCCCTCCTTCATCTCCCTCCTGCCAAGCTCATCTCAAACACTACTTCTGATCTATAGCGCTTATCACTGGCTTTATCTGGCTCTTTGTCTGGACCTGTGGCTTCAGGCCCCATGGGGAACAAGTCTTTGTTTCCAGGCATTTCAGAAGTCAGGCCCTTCTGAACTGCAGGGGATCCCCTGGTTCTGGTCTTCTCCAGCTGACATAGTGTCAGTCTTAGCCTCCAACTTCTTTGATGAGAAAGACTCCAGCTCATCTCTTGAAACTTTATAAAGGGCCTGTACCCCCATCCAGAACCAGAACCCCCACAACACAACCCCCTACAGCCAAGCAGGCAGCCCCATGTTCTAGTGGGAGCACCTCCCTCAGCGCCTCCAGCAGGAGGGGCGGGCCACAGAGAGCCTGTTGACAGCAAATGCCCACACCCCACAGTGGCAGGAAGGAAGCAGAAAGCAGGGAAGGAGCCCCTCAGTGCTCATTGGTCAGCACAGAAACGCAGTGCTGGGGAGGCCCGGGGAGCCGAGATGAAATGGAGATGCATTTGAGCAGATGGGATCTGAGTCACATTTCCATGAGATACCGTCACTAGGCAGCCACTGCCAGAATTTCTTGGGGAAGGCAACACTGGTCCCATCCTCCTCCCCTTTAGACCAGAGAGCTCTTGCCTTAGTGGCGGCCTCTCCAGCTGACCTCCCAGTTCCTTTCTGTCCCTGCACCAGCTCAGCTCTAGCCTTGCTCAGCATCCCCAACTATCCTGAGGTGCGGTGACCAAGTGTCCTGTCAGGGAGAGCTACCGGGGGAAGAATCCACTTCTTCCATTCCTGCCGCCCCTCCCGGTGATTCCCACAGCCCTCCAGCTGGTGCTGTCTGCCAGGAGTCTGGCTTCGGGGTGAAGGCTCAGTTCTTCATCCATTCCAGTTCAGCCTTTTTCTTGAAGGGCAACACTTCAGCCTTCCACGACAGAGTGCACCCGCCATCGCTGGGCACCCCCACCACCTTTGGCCGTCTTCCCTGAGTTAGCCCCTCGTCTCAGCTTTCACAGTCTAGAAGCAAGAGCTGTCCTCTCCAACCCCAGCCACTTCTTTCCCAGCTTTTCTTCTGCATCATTTTAAAACCATTCAATAGGGCCAGTCCAGGAACAACGCTTCTTTGCAGAAATGCATAGACAGAAGTGTGGTGTCTAAACTGACCCTCCTTCCAGATCAGTCCCCTGTAGCCCATGCTTACCCCAACTTTGGAACAGTCTTGGAAAAGAAGCCCAGGCAGAGGCTCAGCCAAAGCTGACTTGACAGTCCTTGCCCTAACTCCTCATCCTCTCAGGGGACCCAGCAGGGCTCCCCGCCCTGCTCACCATCTTGCCTCTCCCCGCGTCATGCATCCTGGAGAATCTCACATTCCCTCTCTGTGACAGAATCCAGCCGGTCATTCTGGGTCCCTCCTGAGACCCTTCCTGAGTGTGTGGTCTTAAAAAAGAGCCTGACCAAACCCCTGCCCGAGGGCACTGGTTCCCAGACAGGATCACAGCCTCTGTGGTCTCAGTGCACACATTTAGACAACACAGCCTCGTGCCTACTTTGCTTGAATAGTGGCTACAACAGTGCTGCCTCCTCTGGTCTCCAAGGACTCTGAGGGCCCTCTGGACACCAGGCAAGGTCCCTGAAGAAGCCAGTATGCCTTCCTCCCACAGGGAGGTTTAGACAGGTGCCCGGGAAGTGAGAGAAGGACCTCAATTTGATGGGATGAGGAAGTGGGCAACTCCACTGCCCCGCAACTCCTTCACCCCTACCATACCCCCACAAGCCTTCTGAGCAGGATCTGCTTCCTGGGGATTCCCTGACAGAGGTGGCTGGCCATTTGCCTGCTGAGGCAAAAACACCTGCAGCCGGTGTGCCCTGGAAGGAGTCAATCCCCTGTCCCCTGGGTTATCAAGAGTTGACCACAAAGGCCTGGGACAGGGCCTGACTTCTGACCCGGGACACTGGGGTGAGGAAAGCCCCTGAACACATCAAAGGCCCTCCCCTCCCATGGCACCACCATGAGACAAAGGCCCCAGCAGACAGACACACGTGGTAAGCCTGACTGCAGTCACAAGGCACATGGCTTGAGGACTCTCAGGAGGGAATGAATCGGTGCACTCTTCTGACACTCAAAAGAGAGTTTGTTTTTGCCCTGGAAACTTAATGGCACACCCCTAGTGCCTTATACCTGAGCCCCACTCAACATTTCCAGAGCAGTTCCCCACTCCCTTTTCTTCACAGATGCCTTGCCACTAAAATATAGGACAGGAGGACGTGCCAACATATCCACTTCACAGAGAAAGACACAGATGGGGCCAGGGTCACAGCAAGGGTGTGTCAAGAGGTCAGACTCTGGAGTCCCTCATTCTTCCCACTGCTCTAACCGCTTCCCAGGCAGGCCCATAGACCTGGAGCCACAGAGGCTGAACTTCCATTTCGGAACCAGTGCCCATGCCCACGCCCACGTGAAAAGGAGCCAGTTGTCCAGGGAAGGTCAGGGAAGCTGTTTCTCAGCTTGAAACTCTACCAGCATGGCCAGGACTGGGGAGAAGGACACCTTCCCACTGGTGATCAAGGACAAGATTGGCACCTCACACTTCGATCCAAGGCAAAGCCACACAGCCACTCTTTCTCACCGCCTCACGTTTCTAACTCATCTCAAACCATCTTTGTACTTAGCCTGCCTGTAGCAGGCTCCATGTTTATCAGTGGAAGTCCTGCTCCTTCGGGCCACCCAAGCCAAGAGCCGGCCCCGTGAGCCAGGTCCCAGCCACATTCGGGACGCCACACCTTTCTAGACAGATAGGGCACCTCCTGCTCCCACTTCCCCTGCAGATTCCTGGTTCTGAAGACTCCTAGGGCAAGGAGTGTGCACTGTTAGGGGGAGAAACGAAGACAATGAAAAGGGAAGAAAGCTGGACTTCTCATTAGTGTTCTGGTAACTAATTTAGTACAACCTTGGGTTGGCAAGGAAATGGCTTGCTTTGTGGGGGGGCCCTAGACCTCTCCGCTGTCTGAATATTCCATGTGTTTGTTTCCCTAGAGGGCTAGAGAACCCTGGACACAGAGTTCAGCAAGAGAGAGTGAAATTAAAAGAGGTTGTGAGTCTTTAACCTTGAGCCTGAAATGAATGTGAATCAATCCCAGACTCTTGGCTTCCTTGAAGCCGGGTAAACATTCGAGTATGTCGAACCCATCTCAGACCGGGGCCTGTGCATCTCCTCAGAGCCCTCTGACAACAGGCACGGGTCTCCCTGTTCCCTTTGTGCTGATGAAACCAAAACATCTGAAACCCCACTCACCGGGTCCCTTCCTCTCCTTCCCCTCACCCCCACGCCCAAACGCAGCTATGCCAAAAAAAAAAAAAAAATCCCACCTTTAGGGTAGGCAGGGAGGGGAGATGGAAGAGCTTTTTTTCCCATATTTTTTTCCATTTCAGCCTTGGAGAGAACCGAAGTGGAGACTTGAGATGGCCGTGGCGGGGTGTCCCGAAAAGTCTTGTCCCCAGTCTTGTCCAGAGCAGTTCATCTTTTCTGTTGTCTCCATGCCAGGGGGAGGGTGGAGGGGACTCATCTCATTGTGTGTCATCCCCTCTGCGTTGTCAGTCACATGACAGGGTCCTGCCACCACCCCCCTGCCCCACACATACACTAGGTGTTCCATCTGAATTGCACTTCAGCCTCAACACACTGAGCACCAGGTTGGGCAGCTACAGCCATGACTGCTATTCCCATTCTACAAATAAGAACACTGAGGCCTGCAACGCCTTCTTTGTTTTCAATTAATCAAGAGTGTAACAGCTCACTTATTAGGAGATCAGAATGTGAACCATCTCTGCAGAGCCACAAGGAGGAACTCCAGGGGAAAGAGAGCTCAGAGCAGCCACAGTGGCCATGATGGAGCACCAGCATGAAGGCCATGTCTGGCTGGCTGTTGCTTGGCACTTGCTGCCTCTTATTTAAAGCACCATTCCAGCAGTGGGATACCCTGGAGTCCCAGCTCACAGTATCCAAGGTGAAAGGACAGAGGTGCTTTTCAGAAAACAGAGAAAAGTCAGCTAACTAATAAGCGATGGCTGACAGCAAGGGAAAAAACAAGCCAATCCATGGGGTCTTACCTAAGACCAAGAAGGATGACAAACCTTTGTTAAATTCTTCTCTGTGCACTCTAAATTAGAAGCCAGACAAGCGTATAACACGCTTTAGAAAGAATTCCTTCTGCAACAGTAAAACAAACTTTCAGCGATGACACTTAAAATCAACCACTGTCACCTAGAAATTCCACTTCCATGGAAGAGGGCTTTCCCCACCAGGGTCCCACAAAGGAGCTACCCCTGGGTTCCACTGACAGCTCAAGTCCTGGGACTTCAAGGGCCTCCCCACGACCGTCTCGCCCAGTCCCCCGCCTCCCCGCAGGCCTGTGGTGTAGGGCAGCCACTGCTCTGCAGGTGGGTGCCACTTGGCCTGCACACAGCAGCCGACTAAGGCTCTGTCCTGGAGGTGCCAATGCCACCTTGTTTTCTCCACCTCTTTTGAGTTGCGGCTGGGACGAGAGGAGGAGGCACCTTTGTCCCAAGTCCCATCAGACTCTTGAGATGATAGGCACTGCTGCACCTCCCAGGAGTCCAGAGAAGGGACACCTCTCTTCCAAGTGAGAGTCCTGTCCCTCTGCACCCTGTGAGGCAGGACAGAGGACAACCAGAGAGCTAGTGTGGCTTGTCCACAGTCAAGGCACCCAACGTGGCAGAGCCAGGACACAGGTCAGGTCTTTCTGCCTCCAAGTCCAGTGCTCCTCCCACCAGCCTTGAAGCCTCAATGACCAGCCTCCTCCCATTCTTCAGCGGAGGAAACTGAGGCCCCAGGATGTATGGTTCACAACTGAGACAGAAAATGAAAGAACTTGCTGTTTTGTGACTCAGTTGCACACACCCCAAAATCCCACTGGCGCTGGGTTTGGTCATCTGATTCCAGCCTCATTTTTTGGTTTTGTGTTTTCAAAGCACAAATAAACAAAAAAAAAATCCCCCATGAAATAAGAGACCCCAAAGCAAGCTCCAATGACTGGCCGGCCAGGGCTTTGAGTCTATACTCGAGTGTTTACCTCCCAAATGCATGAAGGAAAGAAACGCTGGGTACAAACGACCTCCGTTCACATTGTCCAGGCTTCCAAGTGTAGCTGTGTGTCCGTCTGCGTGTGCCGTGTGGCTCCCAGCCCCCGCGTGGCATGCAGCCCGCCCCCGAATGTCACCTGTCCGCCGGCTCCCATGTGCTTTCTGGCTGCCTCTGCTCTGCACCTCAGAAAGCCCTGGGTTGGCTTTGGTTTGCTTTGCTGCCTTGGGTTCGATGTTCCTGTTCTGTTTGGCCCTCATGTGTCTCTCCCATTCCAGCTCATCCAACCATCTCTCCTTTCTGTTCCTTCTCTGTTTGTGACACGTAACCTGTTCCATGTTGTATGGTTTCTTAACTGTGTGTGGTTTTTCTAAGATGAATTTTTTAATAGCCTCTCCTCTTTCCCACTTGATTCCCACCTGGTCCTCCTCCCCGTCTGCATGGTTGAACCTCTGCTTCAAAGTGAACAAGGCTCAGTCTCTCACTAGGTGTGGGTGCCCGCAGGAGTCGACTGCGCTTCCTTTAACCACTGTTTCCCAACATCCCTCTGATGGTGCTTGGTGATTCCTCCTGTCCTAACACTGTAGTTTCTACCAAAACCAAAGCGATTTTTAAAACCCAGCTCAAGGATGCCTATAACCTGAGCCCCCTGTTTGACTCTCCCCCCTCCTGTCGATGCTAATAACACCCAGCGACTGTGGATTCCAGCCGCCTGCTGTGTCCTACCCCTTGTCCCGCCCGCCCCTCCTGTGAGTCCCCCGAGCCTGGCTGTGGTCGCGGGCGGTGCTCCTGACCCCTGTGCTTCCCTTGCAGATCCGCGTCGTGAAGGCGTTCCGTAGCTCTCTCTATGAAGGATTAGAAAAGCCTGAGTCTCGAACCTCCATCCATAACTTCATGGCTCATCCTGAATTCCGGATCGAAGATTCCCAGCCCCACATCCCCCTCATTGACGACACCGACCTGGAAGAAGATGCCGCGCTCAAGCAGAACTCGAGCCCGCCATCATCGCTCAACAAGAACAACAGCGCCATCGACAGTGGGATCAACCTGACGACCGACACAAGCAAATCAGCTACCTCTTCAAGTCCAGGGAGCCCCATCCACAGCCTGGAGACATCGCTTTAGCTGAGGACCCTGTCACCTCCCCGCCCGCCCTCACGGACCCCGCTGCCACCCGCCTCCCGGGCACCCATCCATCCAGGCACCCAACTCACCCAAGCAGCAACGAGCAACAACCGGAAACCAAATACTGGAGAGAAAACCAACGTTTCCACCAACAGACCCTTTCTCTGGCTGCGATGCTGTTTGAACTCTTTTTCACTTCGAGGCAAGGGGCGGGATCTCCACTGGGGGCTTACGGGAGTGAACGGTTTTCCCAAAACAAGCCCTTCCTGGCTCCCACCCAGACATGGACCAGCCATGCACCCGCCCAGCCACCACGTCCCCCGCATGAATGTACTGTACACTTTCAGTCCTCCCCTTGTTTGGTTTTGGGGGGTTGGGGAGGGGTTTTTTTGTTTGTTTTCTTAGGCGGGAACTGCAAACAGACTCTTTTCTGAGACTATTTATCCAATCCACTGGTCTGTGAGTTTTTGAAATGCTTGCGCAGCATGGTCTCAGTTGTATAGATTAATTTAATAACTTTTTGAAATTGCAGAGCTTAACTCGCCTAGTAGATTTGCACCAATGGAACCGAAGAACTTCATAGACACTCACAAGGTTATATCCATTTCTTTGTATCTATATCAACGTATACTTCTCCAAGACTGTATACGTCCATATAGATAGGTAGATATATATATATATAAATATATATAAATATATATACATGGATATATAAAGTTTCTTTGCCGGCATGTTGCCTTGTTTCTGCTTAAATTGCTCTATTTTAACTTATTTATGTCCTAAAAGAAGAATGTAATTTGTTTACAAACCTGTAGATAATGTCTTTGGCTATTTGTACGGTTTAAGAACACTGGTGGCCGAGATGCTATAAAAACAGCTCGGCCCGACAGACACTTCCCCTGGGTTGCATCCTTGATGTTTTATGATAGCCATGCTCTGATTTTTGCCTGCTGTTTCCGTTCAATACTGTCACTACCATGAGAGGCTCAGGCAGAAGCCAAATGCCACTGAGTTGCCATCCTGAAGGGTTTAACAACATGCTCCGTAGACAAAGGGAGAGGAGGAGAGAAGGCTTCCTGGGTTTGCAACACTAACGGCCATCTGGCCCAAGGATGCCAGGATCTGCAAAGCACTGCTCGAAGACTTTTCTCTCAATGAAACTCGCTTGAGTTTACTAAGAGCATTTCAAACACAGGTTCTCTTTGGCACTGTCTGTACAGAGATTGAGGTAGTGTTGAAATATTATACATGGTATTGTGTTGATTTTTTTTTTAGTAACTTACAGGTTTATTTCCTTATTAATGGCAGCATCTGAGCTGTTGGCATATTGGATGAGGATCAGTATGGCTTGCTGCTTTTATTTTTATTTTTGAAGAAGAATAGCCTTTTTCTCTGCACTATTTAGATCCGAATGAACCTTATGATGTGTATATTGAGATGTATTCAGTGTGATTTTAAACCAAATTGTCTTCCTGTAGTCACAATATATACTGTAGCCTTTTAACAGCAAGTCTTGCTTTCCCAAACAGAAAGCCATTCTGAAACCCTACAGTATCACAGGTGAGAAAAGGTGGTTATTTTTTCCCCAAGACAACAGCACTAGTAATCCCACTTAATAAGAGCTTATTTAATTGTATGTCAGCCTCTTAACTGCTAAGCACTTTGTGGGTCTCAGCGTTTTTCATAAAAGAACTTTTGTATTTAATACAAAGTTTGCTTTGAGACTTTTCAGCATATGATCTTTTTCCATAAACTTGTACAGTGCAAAAGACATTTTGAATACCATGATCAATGATGTCCCATGCTTTGAGGAAAACCAAACACTTTCCGCCTCTCTTGCAAAATCCATTCCTCATGCTGACCCTCCCCACAGTGGCTGCGTCAGCCCAGCCCCTTCCCTTCTCCAGGCCCAGAGAACTCTTCCGCAAACAAGATGAGAGCCACTCGGGAAAAGAGCCATAGTCAGCTGGGAGGGCCTACATCTGGATGGCTGTGGAAAAACTTGAGGGTTCAGGGTTCAAAGTCAGCCCATCCCACCTGGCAAAATCCTCCTGGAAAGAGGACCTTCTTTTCAAGAGCGCACCACCTGAATGTTGTGAAGAAATATATCTGAATGTATCCAGCAGAGGAAACTACAGACCCAAAGGGGTGACCAGCCCTCAGATGTGCTATTGGATTCCAATACAAACGCCACCAAAGCCAGCCCACTGCTCTCCTATGAGGAAGGAAAGACCTGCGCGTGTAAAACTTGGGCAGCCTTGGAACATGGTGTTTTTTGGAGTTTCCTTTCTCATGGTTTTCCGTCTCCCCCTTTCTTTGGTCAGTCATATGTCTGTGACCTCATTCCATGACATCAGGATAGCTGTGTTTGCACACCATGCTCCATGTCCATTTGGAGCCAGGCAGGGTTCTCAGCGGAGCCTGCCTTGGGGAACAGGGAGCGATGGAAGAATGCCAACATTCGTGTTGGTCTTCTCTTGTCAGGAATGACGGATGCTTGCACACACGCACCCCTCACTCTCACACTTGCACACACATCCACACACACAGGAAATGATTGGTTTGTCAAAACTCACTGTAGTACATAAAGCTTGCACTCTGCGTCCTATATCTAGCAGCATGGGGTACGTTTGGCAGTTCACCCCATTAGGGGGTAAATAATTTATGACCATTCATCTGTTTTTATGAATTTTTTTATCTAGACAATAATTGTAAATAAAGAACTCACCATCTCTGTTCATTTAATACTATGCAATGGTTATGCTTTCAATCACTGGCTTTCTGACTCCCACAGTGTGGTTCTGAAATGTCTGTGGTTTAAAAAAGGCAAAAAACAACATCAAACAGAACATAGTAAATATATCTGTAATGTATACTTTTTTCTAGTTTGGGACTGCACCATCCACGTAGCTTCTTTTCTGCCCTGTGGACAAGGGCTCCGGGAGAAGGTAGCAGATTCGGTTCTGAGAGCTAAGCTCACCAACTTGTCTCCCCCTCAACAGATGAGGGAAGGGCAGGGAGCCCGTTCAGCGACTCCTGGCGCTGCAGAGTCACTTGTCTTTGGAGGTGAGCCGGGAAAGCTCTGAGGAGTCTCCTTCTTGCAACTCAGACAGAGCTTTCTTTAACTCAGGAGCAGCCTCTGTTGCTCCCACCAACTTCTCACCATGGCCCCTTGTCCCCTTGTCCCAACCACAGCATAGAGATGACAGGAAGGAGGTGGTTCTGTTTCTGAGACTGGACCAATTAAAATGACTGCACTGGCTCAAGGGCTCTGAGCCTGTCTTGACCTGGGTCTCCCGGTTATTGGAAGCTACTCTTTTCACCAACCATGTTGAAATGCCACCTTTACCACACACTGACGTCTTATATAGACTTGGATCTATTTCTGGAACTTCTCTTCTCTTCCCTTACCTGGGTGTCTCATCTGGCACCAGCCATACGATTTTAACTATTGTCACTTTTGTCTAATTATGTGGTGGGATGAGTCCCTTCACTCTTCTTTTACAAAATTTCCTTGTTACTCTCTCACATCTATTCCTCCACATAAACTAAATTGTGCCCAGTCCTCCACCCCCATCCCATTCCCATCCCAAATTCTGGGCCCTTTCATTCCTTGTGCCATCATCTTCCCCCCACTCATTGTAATTACTGTCCACTCAGGGCTGTGAAATAGACTGTGTCCTATAAAGAGGGACAAAAAGGGCATCCTGACCTTGAAGGAAGCCTGCTGTTCCTCCCATCGTTTCACCTGTCCCCTAAGCCCAGGAGTTGTCATGAGAGGCCACCAGCCCCCACTCAATCCCAGCTTGGGCACCAAAGTCACCCACATTGGTTGTGTTGGGGTGGACCCGCCATCTGTCTCTGGTCCAGATGAGAAAGAGCAGTCTCTCCCAGGCTTGGAGCTGGGAAAGAATGTATGACCCAGTTGTCTGCACTTCTAATTCTCATCATGGAGAAACATTTATTCCTGTCTCCCTCCCTTGAACCGGATTTTTGTTGTTTTTGTTTCATTTTGTTTCAGGGGGATCACTTCTTGCTCTTTAATTCAGAGTCTCCAGCACCTTTGGGATGCAAGCAGTTCTTGCCTGGGCCTTCTCGGAACCCTCACTCCCCTAGCCCACTCTTGGGATACCTACAGGAGGCTGCCAACCTGCTGCACTCTGACAAGCCTCCCACCCAAATCTCTTTCCTCCTATTGTGTCCAAAACCCCACCATTAGAGGATCTTGCAGGGAGGAGCATTTCTTGAAGGCTTTTAGGCCTTGCAGAGCCAGGGCAGAAGTCAGACAACAGCAGGAAGTCCCCAAGCCTTTTCAAAGTTCCAAACCAAGCTCTCCTGATTTTAATGTGGAGATCATACCCACCCACGTCGGGGAGGAGGGTCCCCAGCCCCGGGCAGCAGCCATCACCCCCTCCACTGAAAACGATATTGGAGGCTGCTTTGGGACTGCCCTTCTCAGCCCCCTAAGTCTGTTTTGTAATGCCTGTGGTGCTCTCCCTCCCGGACCTTTCTTCTTGGGGGTCACCACACTTTGCTAACTCTTGTGTGCACATATTTTATAATAGAGTAGCGAGGGAATGGTGCCGCCTCCAGCTTCCATAAGCTGCCCGGGCTCTGGGGGGCTCTGGGACAATCGGGGCTGGGAAGTGACTGTGCTCTTATTGTACATTCTTTATTTCTCTGTATCTTTGGCTTGTGCTCTTTGTAATTAATGGGATTTGTCTGCCTTTTCAACACTATACTGAGCAATAACAATAAATGCACACGTGGAAATGCAGACACGGTACACATCACAAGGCCTTTTTCTGAAGGACAGCTGGGTCCCTGACCTCTGTGAAGCTGATCTCATGGGGAAACAGTCCCTGGGAGGGAAAGGCACTTTGCCCAAGAGCCCACAGCTCAGCCGGCGGTCTCTCTCTTTCCACTAGGTCACACCTTTTGAACACCCACCATTTGAGGGAGACAGGCTTACCCTGCCATAAGCCATTAACCTATAAGGAATGGTTGACCATCTCATAGAAGAAGACTAGGGAAAGGGATCTCAGGAGGAAGAGAAGAAGGTTTGGGGGCAAGGGGCGGGGGGGGGTGCAAAAATCGGGGAAAGTTAGCCTGATTTGGGGTCTAGATCAACCAGAGGAAGGAGATGGGGAATACAGACACAGGATATAGGTGGCATCCCCTACTGGGGATTGGGGTAAGGCAAAGGGAAGCCTGGCACCCTAGGAGTCTGGACTTCACAAACCTCTGCTGAACATTGGCAGAGAAAGAATATGCCCAAACCAAGAAGCAATCCCTAAGGTTTGCCCAAGGGTTGAGGGTTACACACACACAATCACAGCCCTTCTTAGGTTGAACTGATCCCCAAATCAAGCGCCATAGGCCCATCCAACTTCCAAACACAATTTCATATCCAAGGGTTCATTCAATCCCAATATCAACCTTCAGAGGAAGTATTATTATAATTCTTACTCAAAAGAGCAGGAGACAGCAGCTCTGCCCACCTGATAAGCAGGGGATCCAGCACTGACCTAGCAGTCTTAATGCCAGCATCTGCACTCTAAACCTCTATATTACAGTGCCTTATGGGCCAAATACCCAATAGCAAATACCTTAATGAATAAGATACAGTTCGGTTGCTTGTCACAAATCCCCAATCTCTTCAACATCAGTGTCTACACAAGGACATTCTTTTCATCACAATTATGCCCCATGCATTATATTTACATCTAATATGCCTTTGTCCTCATTTTCCACTCAAAGAAAGTGAGGCTCAGAAAGAAGTGATTTGAATTTATCACCTAGAAAGTCAGTGGTGAAGCTACAGATCCAAGACCAGGGCCTGTTCCTTGAAGAACAGGAGATCTGGCCAGTCGCAGTGGCTCACGCCTGTAATCCCAGCACTTTGAGAGGCCAAGGCGGGTAGATCACCAGAAGTCAGGAGTTCAAGACCAGCCCACCCAACATGGTGAAACCCCATCTCTGCTAAAAATACAAAAATTAGCCGGGCGTGGTGGCTCATGCCTGTAGTCCCAGCTACTCAGGAGGTTGAGGCAGGAGAATCACTTGAACCCAGGAGGTGGAGGTTGCAGTGAACCAAGATCACACCACTGGACTCCAGCCTAGGTGGCAGAGTAAGAGTTCATCTCAAAAAAAAAATCCCCCCAACCTGCCTTTGTTCCCTGCTTCACCCTAACCACCACCCCCTCACACCCTGCAATAATTTCTCCATTAGTGAGCAATAAAAAATCTTGAAAATTGCGGTGGAGTGGGAAAGCAGGTTGCCAGGAGGCCTGGCCCTTAGTTCTAACACCCTACTCCCCTGGCCTCCTCTCCAAAGCTCCTTGACAGTCTGGGTCTATCCCACTCCCTGAGCCTTAACATCTTCCTTCAAGCAGTGACCATCTCCAGGTAGGGTCCTTACTCCCACTTTCAGCAGAGGAAACTAAAGGACTGTGACTTACCCAAGGGGAGTCAAGGCCTCCCCAGCTCACCTGCTTTCTCAATGTCACAAGGGGCCCAGAGCTAGACCATTTGTGGCTGAGGGGAGGCCCCCAGGCTCTGTCCTCCAGTGTGGCATTCTCACTGCGCTTGTGGGAGCCTTCAGCTACCCTACCTTGGGAAGCCAGAGACCTGGGATTGGAGGCACTGTGGGGATGGGTCTGGCGCTCTAGCTGCAGAAGCTTGGCTGAGATCCTTGACTGCCTAGGGGAATCTCCCTGATGGGACTTAGGACCCCAGGGGATCAGTTTGGAAGGGACAGTCCTATATAGGGGTTAGGGATGGCAGGGCAAGAGGCCTCAACCTCTGGTAAGGGGCATTCCTGGCCTCCTCTGCTGTGGTCCCAGTCCTTGGGTTGAGAACGGGGGACTACAACAAGGAAGCACTAGGACAGCCTACTCACTCACTCCCAAGACATCACCCAACCTACAACATTCATCATAAGGCCAGTTACACCCAGAGCCGCAGGGAGGCTGGTGAAGCTAGTTAGATAGATTTTATTTATTTATTTATTTATTTATTTTTGAGATGGAGTTTCGCTCTTGTTATCCAGCCTGGAGTGCAATGGCGTGATCTCCGCTCACTGCAACCTCCGCCTCCTGGGTTCGGGCAATTCTCCTGCCTCAGCCTCCTGAGTAGCTGGGATTACAGGCACGCGCCACCATGCCCAGCTAATTTTTTGTACTTTTAGTAGAGATGGGGTTTCACCATGTTGGCCAGGATGGTCTCGATCTCTTGACCTCGTGATCCACCCGCCTCGGCCTCCCAAAGATTTTATTTTTTTACATTGTCTCGCTCTGTCACCCAGGCTGGAGTGCAGTGGTGCAGTCATGGCTTACAGCAACCTCCGCCTCCCGGATTCAAGCCATTCTTCTGCCTCAGCCCTCCCAGTAGCTGGGACTACAGGCGCGTGCCACCATGCCTGGCTAATTTTTGTATTTTTAGTAAAGACAGAGTTTCACCATGTTGGCCAGGCTGGTCTTGAACTTCTGACCTCAGGTGATCCTCCCACCTGGGCCTCCCAAAGTGCTGGGACTACAGGCATGAGCCACCGCACCCAGCCGACAGTTATATTTATCCTTCCTTTCATTTATGATCTCAGGCAAAGTGCAGGCTTGGTCGGGAGAGTAGACCCACCAGTGCTTCAGATTCCAAAGCCTCCCGGGTCAGGGCCAGTCCTCTGCTCTTGCGCCTCACTGGAGGATAGGGGCGGGGCCACGGGAGGGCGGGGCGCGGCCTCTGGAAGGCGCGG